CCCTTACCCTGATGAGATTGCGCTGAGGCCACCGCGACGGTCTCAGCAGCAGCGGTTGTCCTAGCGATAGCGGCAGATACAATACGTCAGGGAGGGAGCACAATCCTGGAAGATAGGGACTACCGCAGTACCGCTGGACTAAGCGATAGCGCATTGACGGGTCTCTATCGCAGACAGGGTTTGACGAACTCAATAAGGGTGAGGTCAGCGGGGTGGAATATGGCCTTGTTGTCAGTGTACAAGACTAGGGCAGAGCTAGGCCACTCACCTAAGTACGTGAGTAAGAAAGTCAGCCAGCAGAGCTCCTGTGCCACCATGGCACCAGCATAGATCTCACCCTCACAGCTAGACTAAGCTACAGACGACGAACGGGTGGACCTCCACGAGATAGCGCCTGCACCAAGGCTAAAGAAGTAGCCTTGAGAGGACCTGAACGTCTCGGCGTCGTTCGCCTGCAAAGCATCTATGTGTCATGTGAGAACCACTCGCCCGCGTCCTCCCAGCACTAGCCCCAAGCCTGAGATGAGGAGCTGCCTCTAAAAGGAAAGCTAGCTCGTACTGTCTATCCTCTTGGACGTCACTGCCAGGGGCAGGTGCACCCCCGATGGATGGAGGACGGGCAGGGTCGGAGGACCAGAGTAGTGGCGTAGTAAAGGCACCGGGTAGAGGCAAAGTCAGCGATGGCATCAACAAGAGTTGAGAGACTGGAGATAGGAATGGAAAGGTCGGTAACGAGAGAGGCGAGGACACAAGGAACAAGAAGGCGAGCAGCACGGAGGAAGTTAGAGAGAGGAGGAGAGGAGACAGCGTGGGAGGACTGAGGAGGCGATGGGAGAACTGGAGAAGGAGGAGCATGAGACGCGTGAGAACAGAGAAATATAGGGTGAACATTCGGAGTGGGAGAGACGGGGCGAGCAAGAAAGGGACAGGGAGAGAAGAAGTGGGAGGTAGGCGTCGGTTCAAGAGACAAAGGAGGAGAACGAGGAGGGAAACGAGCTGGAGATGAGTCCGACGGAGGGAACACTGGGCCGCAGACAGGAGGAGGAGGCGGCGCTGGGGGAGGCATGGACGGTCGGTCGGGGGAGACGGAGGGAAGACTGAGGAGGCGAAGGGCGTACACTGACTACTGTTGCTGCTGTTGCTGCAGCTCCGTGCCCACACCAAGACCTCCAGCCCCACCGCTACTACCGTCGGTACTCGCCGAGACAGCACCCATAGGACCAGCACCCTCAGGACTAGCACCCACATAAATAGCACACTCCTCAGAACCAGCACCTCCAGTGCCAACACCCCCGGAGCCCACTGGTCCCTACTGCGGCGGCGGCTGCGGCAGCGACTGCTGCGGCAACGACTGCTGCTACTGCGGTTGCTGCTGCTGAGGTTGGTGCTGCTGCTACTGCTGCTACTGCGGCAACCGTGGAGGCACTGGGGACGTGGGTGCAGGTGCCGCAGAAATAGGCGGCGCTCTCGGAGCTCCAGGACCCCCAGAGTCAGTGGACTCCTCCGCCAAGCCAACCGAAGGAAGGGGAGAGATATGAGGCATACCAGACAAGGCAGGATGGGGAGGGAGGAGAGCGGGAGCTACCAGGGGAGTGGCGACAAGGAAGAGGGGCGGGGTAACAGGGAGACCTCGGTGGGGGAAGCAGGTGGAGAAGGAGACAGACTCGTCAAAGGTGATGTTATGCGAGTGGAGGAAACGGTGCGGCAGGGGATGGTAAAAGTGCCAGTCAAGAGCGGTTAGACGGGAAACAAAGGAAGACAAAAGGGACAGCACGGGCAATGAGCTTGTCCGCACGAGAGTCGCGAACGTGAGCTAGGCAGCCCCAGACGTGAAACGTAGACGTGACACCAGGGGACCCGGTCCAGAGAAGGGTCGGCAAAACCTGCGGGCGCGAAGCGCGGGGCCATAACTTAAGCTGGTGAGCGGCGTAGCGAGCTGCGAACTGCCACAGAAAATAGGGTGCACCGGCATGGATCACAGAGGAACGAGCCACCTCCGTACCATACTGCTGTGTCGCTCAATGATTCCATTCTGTTGTGGGGAGTCCGGAAGTGTGTACGACTGGGTGATGCCCTCCACACGACAGAATTGGCCAAGCCGACCGGAGGCGAACTCGCCTCCACGGTTGGAGTATAGACAAAGCACAGGCTGGGCGTGGGGGACTCGAGCAGCTATGAGCCATGGGATAAGAACGTGAGGCAAGTCAGCCTTCTGCTTGAGGAAAACACTGTGGTGTAGTGTGAGTAGTCGTCCACCAGAACCAAGAAGTAGTGCTTGCGTCGCGGCCCAGGGACTCGGGCTGGGCCCCAGACATCCAGGTGAAGGGTCTGAAGTGGCGTAGTGGTAGGGGGAAATGAAGAGGAGTGAGCAGCAGCACGCTGCCGCCCCTCGACGCAAGGCGTGGAGGCGCGGGTGAGGGAGGGAGGGCCGGGGCGACGTAGGGAGACCTAAGACAAGACATGGGACGAAGATGGGGGAGAGCGGGGTGACCTAGACGGTGGTGCCATGGTCGTGACGGGTGAGTGAACGACCGA